GTGTGTGTGTGTGTGTGTGTGTGTGTGTGTGTGTCAGGTATGGATAGTGAATTTTCCCTGTGTAGCCAAAAATATATTCCTCTCATGTAGCAACGATGTCAAATGACAATACGTTTTTAGTTTTATTTTATCAAATGATACTTCCCTTCTCAGAAATCCTAGTTTAGTAGCCTAACATTCTATCAGAAACACTAAATTAAAACTTTAAATTTCCAGAGGACCCTGTAGAAGGCACTTTTTACTTCTTTATTCCTAATGCTATAGATCAGTGGATTTAGCATAGGGACCACTAGTGTATAGAACACAGAGGACAACATATCAATTAGAGAGGGCTGAGAAGATTTTGGCTGCACGTACATGAAGAAAATGGTCCCAAAGAAGACGACCACCACGGTCAGGTGAGAAGCGCACGTAGAGAAAGCTTTTGTCCGTCCTTCTGCAGAACGCATTTGACATATGGCTAAGACAATCATAAAGTAGGATAAAAGTACTGCGAGAAGTGTGGATGTCACATTGAATATTGCAAAATGGTTGATCAGTGAAGCTATATCGGGTCCATTTGAACATAACATAAAAGAAACAGAAATATTATCACAGTAGAAATGGCTGAGAATATTACTACAGAAAGTCGATGTAAAAATCTGACTAGTGAAGAGGAGAGCCTGAAAGACACCGTACAGGTACAGAATGCTCAGCAACACATGGCAAAGTCTCGGAGACATGATAGTGCTGTAGAGCAGAGGGTTGCAGATGGCCACGTAGCGGTCATAGGCCATGGCAGGCAAGATAAAAAGTTCACTGACAATGAACGCGATGAAGAAGGCCATCTGTACAGCACAAGCGTGACTGGAAATGATATTTTCACCCGTAACAAAATTTAGCAACATTTTGGGATAAATGGCCGTGGCATCACCCAGATCCATGTAAGCCAGGTGTCTGATAAAAAAATACATTGGTGTGTGTAAGTGGGAATCCAGCTTGGTCAGAATGATCATGCCCAGGTTGCCCACCGCTGTGAGACCATAGATGACGAGGAAGATGAAAAAGAGTGGGAGCTGCAGCTCAGGCAGGCTGGAGACCGCTCTCAGAATGATGGTGGCTGGCACTGTCAGATTCTGTCTGCCCATGATGTCCAGATACCTCTTCTGGGACAGAAGAAGATGAAGGTGTGACTTCTATTCACAATGGTCAAACAAATTGCAATACTCATGCAAAGAAGGAAGTATTTGTTGTCCATGGCCATAGAATAGTAATACCATTTTCTGATTCCATTAGTGTAAAAAGGAGTATAATTTTCACTCTCTCAATGACCTATTCATGTGAAATACATCAATAGATTCAACGGTTAAGAAAGGCAGCAATATTGGAATATGTCTCTCATATACAAAACAATATCATACAGAAACCTTTGCTTTATGTATATCCATGATGGAAACAGTGTTTTTTCCTGAGTGTACATGGGTAGTTGGAAAGATTGGGTAAAAGTTGAAACAAAACACATCCGTTACAGTGAGACTCACTGCCATTAGTCAGCCTCAATACATTCCCTTTGGTTCAAACACATAAATGTCATTGTTCTTGCTACTCTGAGATGCAGTCCCAACAGACTCCTTTCATGACTGTATAAGGAGGTGTGGACTAACGAAGTCAGTGAATGAATGCTGCTGTGAGCTTGCATGCAAAAGAAAGACAGTCCCATAAAATCGGTGTGCTATGTTTCATCCACCTCACTCAGCAGATCTGTCACAGTGGGACTTCCCTCTCTTCTCCAAGGTCAGAACGACCTCCAAGTTGATTCAGGACAGCAAGGCAGCCATGAAGAGGGCAACTGATGATACTCAAGAAATAGAACTTCTAGAATAGCTTCAGCAAGCGGCAGTAACAATGCAATAAATTATTTCACCACGTCACATGATGATTTAAAGGTAATTAATAGCAATCTGCTCTTGTTAAAATTTGTGATTATTTATTTTGCACTGTTTCTTGATCATGCATTGCATTGATGACTTAATCAATCAATTTTTAGTGAGATCTAGGAGAGCTTTATCGTTAATAACGCACAAAGCAAGTTTTTGTTGTCAAACCTCCAAAAATGCGATGCAACCTTTAATCAATTAAGCTCATTTTTGTTTACATTCTAAGTTCCACTCCCTTGTAATTTAATTGAATTTGTGGTGCTTTAACTTCTGTAGACATTTGCAGAGTCCAAGTAACAGAATTGAGGTAAAATTGAAGGCATTTAATAATGATAAATGCTTCATTATTATACAAGAATATATGGCTCTGTAAAATTTTTAAAATCTTTTTCAATATTAACACATTTTGTTGTTTGATTAATGATTTACATTTGAAGTTCTAAAATATTTTTCATTCTCTATAAATACTAACACTTTATTAGCCTTTTTAGATATTTGACTTGTTATTAGTGAAAAAGAATCCACAATTATATTAAACTTTAAAACATAAGATTGAAATATATTCATGCTCAGATAAGTGTTATTTGTCATCACATATGAAGTTTGAGTATTTAATTTTATATGCTTTATATCATAAATAGACACTAGTGAGATGACAGTTTTTGATACATTAAAATAATCCTTCCATCATTTATATAACCTATTAATAGTGCTCCAAATATGTCTACCATTTTATAATGGAATAAAGTATGACACTGAGATATTCTAATACTCCAGTAAAAGCGACTGGCTTTCAATCCCCAAAATTAATGTGACAAGACTGTAAACCAAGCAGAACTCATGAAAGGTGGGGACGCTGTCAGCCTCACCTCTTGAAGTCTCTTCCTGTCACTTTCAGTCTCAGCTGGGTGAAAGCCTGGAACTGCCAAGGTGATTTTCTGTACAGAAGAAATGGGATGTCGCAGTTCTGTTCTGGGAATGCAGAACAGGAGTGTTTCCTGGGACTTTGGGGTCCCCTGCACAGCCAGCAGGCCTCAGGGTACAGCACAAAGTGGACAGGCACAGCTCAGAGCAGCTGCCCTGCAAGCACAGCGGCCCCAGTTAGCAGGAGATCTGGGGATCTGCTCACCTCGGTGCCCTCCTGTGTTTCTCAGGTGGGAATTGAGGCCGGGCACAGTGCGATCCTGGAGGTTGCTGGGCAGCTGGTGTCCCTTCTCCCTAGTGCAGTGGTCTGCGACTGCTTCATCTGAGTCCCACACCTCTGCCAGACGTCTTCCCCCAACTCATGAGCCAGAATATGTGTCCCTCTGAAAATTTAATTTTGAATTTTCTGGTTATGGGTTCTGCCATCTTAAGCTTTTATTATAGAATAGAAGAGGATTTGATTGAGAAAAAGGATCCACAAATGCATCACCTAACTTATAAGTATAAAGTTCTCAAATATTTCCAAGGATTCTAGAGCTGTGTGTGTGTGTGTCTGTGTGTCTGTGTGTCTGTGTGTACTGTGGATCGAATTCGGGTCTTTGTTCATGGGAGGCAGAAGGTGGCACCACTGGGCCTAGTCCCGGGCCCACTAGAGCTTTTTTATATATTTATTGATTTGTGTACTTTATTGATTTATGTTTTTTTGTGTGTGTGTATGTGGAACCAGGGATTGAATTCAGGACCTTAAGTTTTTCAAGGCAGTAGGCGGCACCACTGAACTAAATCCTGGCTTTTAGAGCTATTTTAAAAATAATTTTAATTTTAATTTTATCTAATTACTGCCCAAAGTCCTCTTCTCTCCCAATGTAATAAAATTTTTGTTTCCATTTTTCCTTCTATTTTCATTTTTTCCTAGTTCCTTCTTTTCTTAGAGCTTTTAATTATTTTACATCTATCTCCATTTCTAGTGTCCATTTTACATTGCCATGAAGATATAAACATGCCTTGCCCCTACCCAGCTTTCTTGTTTGAAAAAGAATACCTCTGAGTTTTTCAGCACATCTCATTTTGCACATTTTAATTATTCCCACTTGTAGCTATTTCCTGCCTCAGGCAGTGTACAAAAAGTATGTGGAGGAAGTAGATATGCATGCTCATTTTATTTAACAATTATTGGGAGGTCAGGGTTTTCTTCATAACTTCAAAAGCCTTACAAAGGCATCTGATTAGTTCTATGTATTCAAGATTTGTATTATCCACACAGTGAATATACTGTGTGAAAAGAAAATGGAGCCAGAAATAATCAACATTTTGGAATGTACAATCAAAGACTGAAATATCTGCACGTTGATGCATGTAACACCCCACAGAGAAAATTATTTACACTTCAGGAAATTTTACTATGAAATATTATTATAATTTTTTCAAAATGGTATTATGTTAGTGGAAAGTGATATTTTAATGATAAAGTATAGCATATTTGTAGAACCTGTCACACATTTCAAGACCAAATGTAACAGCATTCTGGATTTTACTTCGAATTCCTAAACCTCCTCAATTCCACTTGATGAGTCAGGTGATGCACTTTCTATGTTTCCTAACTCCCTTATGACTCACATTATCTAAATGCCTTGTGAAACTCTCACCCATCTGATGGATCTGGAGTATTTGTTAGGTGCCCTGTTTTTTGTACCTAAAAGCAAAATGCTTTTTCTAGAGCCTGCAGTTCACAGGGAGATACTGAATTTTGCAGTGCATTTAAACAAATCAGCCATCCTGACCGTTAGTGTCTACAGCCAAATCCAAAAGTGAGGGAGACTTACCAAATGCAGGGGAGCATCCAAAGTGAGGGCTGTTCTTTCTCATCTAGAAAGGAGAATCAGATTTCCTTCTCCGAAATCTCTCTCTCTCTCTCTCTCTGTGTTTGGTTAAGAATTTAAGGCTCACTACCCAATGGGTGGTATTCCCTGAGGAAACAGCCTGTAATTTGTTTTCTTCATTTTGCCTGATTCATCTGAGAGATTTAAAAGTTGTTTTGACAACATTGCTATGTTCCCTGGTGAGAAAGTTTCAGAGAGGCCCAAGAAAATGAACAAACCATGTAAGTCATCAGTGAAAGACAAAAGCGCCTCCATACTGACCTGAACCTGAACTTTGGCCACATCCACATCTCCTGTGTGACCCCCAACCCAGGCTGTTAACCCCTCATCCTGCTTCTGTAACCTCGCTTGCTCACATCCTTTGGATTAGGTCAAGCAGTTCCAAGGTTAAACGTGGAGCCTTGTCTGAAATAGACAGACCTGGGGGTGGGGGCCTCTCTACCTCCTCAGGCCCATTGTGCAACGACCACCTGCAGACCAGAGGAGAAAAACACGCCCAAAGTTACATGCTTGTTCAGCCCTATAAAAACTCTGCTTTTTTGTGATTCGGGGCTCCACTCCTCTTGAGAATGGGTTCCACAAGCATGAATAAACTTCTCCTAGTCTACTGGATATTCTGTCTCCATGCTGGTTATCGTCTTTTTGGTCCAACATTATTGGAGGCCCCAGGAAGATATCAGATCTTGAAGACAAACTGAGGGTGACTTGCCTCACTCCTGGGCCACCCCAGGTCAAGATAGGCTGGGGAGGCCTCCCTGTTGTCTTGTTTAGGGCCTGGAGAGATTGCCACTCATGGAATGGGATCTGAGGAGGCCCTCAACGGACTGAGATAAGTTTGTCAGGAAGATTCCTCTAGAGGTAAGAATCTTAAAATTCTCGGGGAAAGGATCCTTTGGTGGGTAAGTGGAAAGTTGAATGCAATGGCCATTCCCCTACGCAGGGTCTTTCTGTGATGGCAGAAGGTCCTGTGGTCTATGTATCCCTTTGGTCAGGAGGGATCTACTTGGAGGAAATATTTGTTTCTTTGTGTTGTGTTGTTTGTCTGCTTGATGTATGGGCCATTTGCGTTTACAGGAAAACAGATCCAATGTCCAATTATGGGAGCTGGCAAATCTAAGCCTAATAATTCTCTTGAATGTGTTCTAACAAAGTTTATACTCCACAGAAGGCTGACGAATATAGAGTAAAGTTCCTTAAGGCCAGTACTGTGTTATCAGCCTCATGCTGCCTGCCAGGTCTGAAATTGTAAACAAGCCAGAGAAACTGCAGCTGGACTCTACCAAATCTATCAAGAGATTTTTGCAAGGGAAATCAAGTTAGAAATTTTAACTATTTGATGAATGTATCTTTGTTTCAACTTGAATTAAGTTTAATTGGTGTGCTTAAAACACTTCTTGTGTGTTGTTTTCCTCTACAAGCCAGCTTGAGGGACTGGGAGGGCAAGGCACGGAATCACCCCGCAGACATGGGGAGGTTTGTGGAACACTTCTATTTTACTGAGGAAATGTACATACTCGTATAGGATAAGGACCGGGTGGAGCCAGGGTGGAGCCGAGGTATTTGCCACACCTTTATTGGCCACACTTCAATTTTTGAATTGTATGTTTTAAGGGTTGAGGTTAATGGAGTCAGGACTTTAGAGGTTTTTGAGAGGAACAGTTTATCCATCTAAGTTCAGATCTCTACACACCTGAGGGAATGGATTATTCCAGCCCTAATAGTCCTCGGGGAGTTTTCTCTTGAGAGATGGGGGCAGCGCTCCTGACTCAGCCAGAAGTGAACCTGTCCTCAGTTTCTCCTTTTGTCTTTGAGTCCATAGTCTCAGCCAAAACCAACACACGTTTATGATTTTGTTACTGGTATGTCTGATCTTTAAAATAAAGAATAGTAACAGTGTGCCCAACAAGGTTAGTATATATGGGGATGCCAATATCAATCCACGTATCCGACTACTCCAATTATTCCATGCGGCGTGAATTTTTGACCAAATGGTGTCCCACACATTATTTAAAGTTACAACATCTAATGCCTGAGTATGAATTCCTCCCAAACCAAGTTTAATTGGATTTGTAAACTGAGTATGGCTGGGTGGACATCTTGAAATAGGAGGACGTTCTTTTTGAAGGCCTGAGTGGTGTTTTTTTGTTAGCGGATTGACGTTACTGCGGTTGCCAGTTGATTTTTGTGATGTGACTGTTGCCATTGTTGTGGCAGAAACAGCTGTCACCATGGAAACAAGGACAACAATAAGGGTGGAAATTTCAAAATTTGGGGTCTGTTATGCTTATGTTGCGGACTCGCTTCCAGTCAGTCTTTTCATCTCCATCACCAGCGGTGTGGGTTTTGACATTTCCGGTGGGTACCCAGGTGGGTTGTTCTGCATCCTGTGGAAACACACAAGTGAATCCTTGCCCTATGGTTAATAACGGGGCAGGTCCCCTCCAATTATTGAGGAGGGGGTCCCTCCGCAAAACCATTGGTGCCTTATCTGATCCCTGTATGGGGGACCAATGTTGTATCTCCAGGCATTGTTGTTTTTCATTAAAGGTAAGAAAATTTAATGTAAAAAGGACATGGTTTATTTTATCCTGAAGAGTTGCCAAGCCAGTATCGGTTTGTTGTTTGTGGAGCATTGGTTTAAATGTCTGATGAAACCACTCCACAACAGCTTGCCCTTGTGGACTATAAGGGATTCCTGTCACATGTTTAATCTTATGTTTTTCCAAAAACAATATAATGGTCTGAGAGTAATAGGCTGGGCCATTATCTGTTTTTATTGTGAAGGGCACCCCAATGATGCAGAAGCAGTGGAGAAGGTGGCAGATCACATGTTTTGTCTTTTGCCCTGTCATAGCCTTAGCACAAGCACATCTTGAGTAGGTGTCCATGGTTACATGGACATATTTTAATCTTCCAAAGGTACTGATGTGAGTGACATCCATTTGCCATACCGCATTGGTCTTTAACCCTCTGGGATTTCCCCCCAATGATTGTAACGGTCCAGTAGTCAGGAGTGGGATGCAAGTGGCACAGGCGTGGACAATTCTAGATTCCTGTTTTCTAGTGAGCCCAGGGAACATGATTGACAGGCTGTGAGCAGACTGATGGAAATTTTTATGGCTCAGGATAGCCTGTGATGTTACCAAGGCTGAGAAACATGACAACTCTCCATCATTTAGTTGGTTTCCTTCCAGTAATGGGCCAGGCAGGGCCGAGTGAGACCTTATATGTTGATTGTAAATAGGGTCTCTTCTCTTTTCTAACAAATGTTGTGTTTTACGAATTAGCAAATCTAAAGGGTTTTTGGGGAAGGTCTTTAGCACAGCATAATATAATCCTGGCAGAAGACCTAAACAATATTCGGAAACAAATTTAAGGGCACATCATGATAATCTTCTAAAGCAAGAGCTATAGTGGCCGACTCTTTAACTTGAGGAGATCCTAAGGTGGTCTCTTTTGTTTTTATTATAGGGCTGCACCCATCTTGGAATTGAGCCACATATCCAAACTTTAGTGCGGCGTGAGGGATAGCCATTTTAACCACAGGATTTTTAAACATTAATGGAAGCATAATTAACCCTTGAATAATTTCATGATTAAAGCAAGAGCTATAGTGGCCGACTCTTTAACTTGAGGAGATCCTAAGGTGGTCTCTTTTGTTTTTATTATAGGGCTGCACCCATCTTGGAATTGAGCCACATATCCAAACTTTAGTGCGGCGTGAGGGATAGCCATTTTAACCACAGGATTTTTAAACATTAATGGAAGCATAATTAACCCTTGAATAATTTCATGATTGGAATAATGATTACCTGGCCTGTATAACACACCAGAGCAAGAACAAATTTAAGATTAACGTTAATCAAATGAGAGACCTCATCCAATTTTAGGGGGAGCACTAGGATCTCTGGTTCCTCTTCTACTACTTGTAAAGTTCTTTTCCTTATTTTTAAAATCATCTTGCTGAGGGAGTCTACAAAGCCTGTAACCTTCTGTTGAGTAATTGTAGAGGACCAGTGGATCCATTCTATAGGCCCATTGACTTGCCACAGGCACCTGAGAGGGATCTGTTATATGAATTAAATACTAACCCTGAAATGGTAGGGAGGGGTCTAATCTGTGCAGGTCTGCACAGGGCAGTTGTCTATTTACATATTCTAGGGCTTCCCCTGCCTGTGGTGTCAACTCCCTAATAGATGTGGGAGAATGCTCCCCCTTCAATAATCAGAAGAGAGGCTCTAGCTCTTTGGTGGTAACTTTTAGCCATAGTCAAATCCAATTTATTTATCCCAACAATTGCTGTAATTCCGCAGGGGTCACCATTTGGGGGAGCAAAATTCGAGAAACCTTTGGAGACACCCCGGTCAAATCTATAGTCATCCCCAGGAAGGATATTGGACACCTTTTTTGGATTTTTTCAGGATTAACCTTGAACCCATTAACTTTTAACAATTCTAGAACCTTTTGAAGGACGTTTTCTAATTGGTCTGAAGACTCACAGGCTATTAAGATATCATCCATATAACAATACAGTTGTAGACATTTATCTGACTTTGTAGGACTGAGGGCCTGGGCGACTGCTATCTGGTATAACGCGGGGCTACTTTTCATCCTTTGTGGCAGCGCCTTCCATTGGAACCTCATGGCGGGTCGGCTGTGCATGACTGGGACTGTGAATGCAAACCTGCAGCGGTCTCTGGGACGTAGGAGAATAGAAAAGAAGCAATCTTGGATATGAGCAGCATATATAAATTTATCAATAGGCACTGCTGTTAAAAGAGGTAATCCAGCCTTAAGAGCCCCCATGTCCTTCATGGATGCATTTATTGCTCTTAGATCATATAACAAAGGAAACTTTTCTGGGGTACTCTTAGGTGTCAAGAAAATGGGGGTATTCCAGGGACTGTTGGGAGGTTCAATGTGGCCAGCCTGGAATTGTTTAGCCATGATCTCTTGTAGTGCCTGTAACTTTTGACATGACAACGGCCTCTCCTCCATCCAGATAGGTTTATCATTAACCTATTGTAAGGGAATAGACAGTGTGGGATATTGAGCAGTGGCCTCTAGAAGTGAGGTGATGATATTGTTCATCTATGAGATCATCATAGAAGGCCTCGTTGTCAGTGGTGATTATTGCATCCATGGACTCAAAGAAATCTCTCTGCAGGAGATTATTGGAAAGATCATTCAAAATGATGGGAAAGAATGTTCCTTTATGTCCATCTGGATGGGACCAAGGGATTTTTTTTTCCGTAGCAAATGACTGCTGGTCATCTCCCACTCCTTGTACCAGAGGCCCAGGAACTAGATCCCAAGTATTAGGGATTTCTTCGTGCCTTAAGATGGTCCTATCTGCCCCAGTATCAATAAGCATGCAAAATTTTCTGTCAGGGCAGAAGAGGGTTAATCGAGCTTTGAGCATATCTATGGAAGTGTTCCCCAAAACCTTTAATGTACAGGTGTTATCAAAACCCATTTGAAGCACAAGGACCAGGGTTTGATCCCTGGTACCAAAAACAAAACAAACAAACAAAAACACTTTTGATTTAACAGAGAAACCACATCTTCTTTATCCAGTTTCCAACTGATGGGCAAATGGGCTGTTTCTAAGTTTTAGCTATTACAAACTGTGCCGCTATAAACATAGGTGCATACTACTCAGCTACAAAGAATGAGAAATTAGATGCACTCATAGGAAAATGGATACATATTGATATATTCCTAAGTGAAATAAATAAGTCACGCATGTGTAAATATCAAATAGTTTTTCCAGTATGAAAGACTATAATAGTACATAAGATCCTAATGAGGTAATTGACAATGTGAAATAGGAAGAAAAGGGCTAAAGTTGTAGGGGAAGTGGGAAGGGTAGGGGAAAGCTAATAAGGGAAAAGAAAAAATATGAAAAAATGAAAAAAATGGGGATACAGTGTATGTAAATGGGAAGGGAGGAGGGGGTGAAGAGAGGGCAGGGACAAGGGGAAAAAATGAGAAACAAGACCTGTCATGTAAAGGTGTGAGATCCCAATAACGAATGTATCTGTACTGTATATGCAAAATGTACCAATAAACTAAAAAAAAAAAAAATCTGATTTGTTATTTGGGTTTGTCTCTGGCTCCCTTTTAGTGGTGGGGCTGGGAGGTGCCCCAAGTGAAGTTTGAAGGTAGAGGAGCCTTTTGGGCCTTTGTTTTTGATTGGAGAGGAGTGCCTTTTTTATGGTATTTGGATGTGCAGTCCCTCTTCCAATGATACCCCTTTTGACACCAGGAGCAAAGTGAGGAGGGACGGCTCTGTTCTCCACCTGTAGGGTTTTTTGGACATTGTCTTTTTACATGTCCAGGTTGATTGCAAGCCCAGCATATAGGACCTGCTGCTCCACCCTGATCTTTCTGTGGTCTTGAAAATGGTGCTGCAGCGGCGAAGACACTAGTGATGGCCATGGCTAAGGCTTTGTGTGTCTGATCTGGTGTACCAATGTCTTTTGTAGCTAATATCCAATCATCAAGAGTTTGGATTTTTGTTGGAGTAATAACTGTCCTGAATGAGGATTGACACCCCTCAAAAATGAGTTCTTTAATCAGGGCTTGTTGTGCCTCAGGATGAGTAAGCCTTGGTTGTACCGTCTGTATTACACATTGGCAAAAATCTGTAAAGGAGTCATTCGGCCTCTGGATCAGCTTACCAATGCTCGGAGTCTCCCCTGAGAGGCATCAGGGGCCAAGCAGTGAGAGCACAATTGCGGACTTGGTCATAACAGATGGCAGTCTGCTGTGCTGGGCGAGTGACATTAGAATATGCCCCTGTCCCTTTTAACATGTCCAATGTAATCCCTATGCCATTTCGATGATGGTGCACCTCTTGTTGGTCACATTGATCTTTATACATGACTTTAAACAAGGAAATTGCCAGGAGTTAAACAGGCACGAGCAAGCTTGAACCAATCTTGTGGACAACTAACACTGTAAGAAAATTCTTTGACAATTGAAGAGTGTAGGGACTTTGGGGTCCATGATCTTGGACAGCTTGTCTGAGCTCCTTCCAGACCTTTGGGGAGTGAGGCACCCATGGAGGAACCCCTGGGCCTCCCGATGTGGCTGGGAATGTTGAGAAACTCCTAGAGCCCGATCTTCCTCCCTCAAACATATTTTGGAAATGGGATCTGTCAAAAGGCTGTTCTTGCTCATCAGAAGGCCTATTGCAGGAGGAATCAGAAGAGGAAGAAGAGGAGTCACGGGACGGTATGACGGAGGCACCCGCGTTGTGCTGTTGTCTTAAACAGGATGAGGTATGACTCTTGGCCAATAACTTCCAGTGCTGTGGGAGTTTAGGCTGAGGCACGTCTGTGGCAAGAGGCAGAAGTTGAGGGGGTGGGGCTGATGCCTCTGGAGAGGAAGAAGAACCCAGAGAAGAAAGGCCGTCGGCGCCATCTTTTTCATCAACCCCCTGTTCACCATTTTTTGGCTGTCCTGGAGACAACTGGGCAGGGAAGGCCACCATTTCTCTTTTAGCAGTGGTCTCTAGACATTGAACAATTGCAGAAACAATGGGGAAAAATCTAGCGGGTGACAAATCTCTTTTTATTTTCCGGAGCACTGGGCATTATTTATTGCATGCTCCCAAATCTCCATGTCCATCACAGCTGCACCTTCCATCCATGGTAGGACTTGAGAACAGTCTCCCAAAAACCCATGAGGTGATATTTAGAGACCTTTATGCCCCTGGGTTTTAGTAGGGCCTTTACTAAAGCGGCCTGCACTGGCCTTTCCTGACTCATGACATTACCCATAATGGGATCCTTGCCCAAAACTTCAATATCCACCCAGTATATGTGGAGCCCCGGTTTAGTGCACCAGCTATTGTTTTTGTCCATGAGCTCCCTGGCAGAACAAGGAAGCTGGACTGGGAGGGCAAAGCGTGGAATCATCACGCAGACACCGAGGAGTTTTCTGGAACACTTCCATTTTATTCAGGAAATGCACAGGCTTATATAAGGTAAGGCGGGGTGGAGCCAGGGTGGAGTCGGGATATTTGGCACGTCATTCTTGGCCATATGTTAATTTTTGGGTTGTATGTTTTAGGGGCTGAGGCAATGAAGTCAGGATTTTAGAGATTTTTGAGAGGAACAGTATCCCTGTCTAAGGTCAGATCTCTACACACCCAGTGGGGTGGATTATTCCAGCCCTAATAGGCCTTGGAGTTTTCTCATGAGAGATGGGTGCAGCGCTCCTGACTCAGCCAGACATGAACCTGATCATTTGTACATTGCAAATTCTTAAATTGTGATTATAGGGTTACCTTGCTCTTTTTTGTACTTTGTTGATAAAAAAACTCAAGGTTAATACTGTTCTATTAGCCGTTAAGAGGTAACAATCTGAAAATAAAACAAGAAAAGGACACTTTAAGATTTTAACAGCTGATGTTTGCTAAAAAAAGGTTTATAATAAGTGAGACGGCAGGGGAAAAACAGAAAAAAGGCTATAAAATATACTTCTGATATCAAAAGGATTTTGTATGTTTGTCTTATTAAAAGGCTAAAGAGAGAAAACAAGACCAGAAGGCCTCAGTATGTTGAGAAGGTGTGCAAAAGTGAGTTATCAAGGAAATATGTATGTTTGCTTGTTGGTTTCAAGTTTGTTACAAAAGGTTTGCCTTTACAGGCATAAAGAGACTTACATCAATAAGTATTACTTAAATATGTTGTTATAATATGTTTACTTGGGGTATCATCAAAGGGTTAAATTCTAAATATGTCATTGTGATATGTTTATAATGGTCATTTTCAAAATATGATTTTTTTCTCAAGGAAAATAAAGCGTTATTAAAAGGTTTTATCGGAAAAGTGTTTTTGATACCAAATTAGATTAAAAGCCATAAAGTTTCATACATATGCTTTTGTAAATATTCAGATGTAGAAAATGAATAGAAATGTCACAGGGTTTTAAGAAACTATCGATTGTGCTTTAAGAGGAGGCTATAGAGTTTCATAAAAAAGGCTCAAATTTGTGTGCAACAACTCAGATATTTAGGATTCCAAGTTTCCAAAAAAATACATTGCTTGGGAGATAAAAAGATGAAAGCAGCTGAGAAAATTTTTGGTGATAGCAAGTTTTTACAGTATCTGGATCTAGGGTTTGCAGAAATGGCTAAAACTAACTTGACTGCTCACGTTCCCCATGCCTTTACCTCAGGCCCTGATCTGTGAGAATCCCCACCTATGTTTTGCTGTAGTTAAAACCTTGAATCCTGCTCCTTTTTGCCCTTGGAACCTCCCAACCTCATTCACTCCTGCCTCAGGGTCACCGATGAGTTGTTCTCCAGTTACCGGATCTGCGAAAGACCCCCTGTCTGAGGCTGATTTTTTCCTGATGGATGGGAGCAGCTTCATGGAAAATGAGGCACACTATGCTGGCTATGCAGTGACAACTCAAGATGAAATGGTCCAAGCAGGACCCTCCCCAGCACACGGTCAGCTCAGTGAGCAGAGCTATGGACACTCAAACAGGCTCTACCATGGGCGAAAAACGACAACAACAAAAAAATAAAAACAAAAATAGGGTAAATGTATAGATCCCTGTTTGCTATTTTGTGTATCTATGGCACAATCTACAAAGAGTGTGCTCTTCTCACAGCAGAGGGCAAAGGAATTAAAAATGAACAGGAGAGGGCTGGGGATTTAGTTCAGTGGTTCCTCTGCCTGCCTTGCAAGTGCAAGGTCCTGAGTTGGATCCCCAGTACCTATAAATAAATAAATAAATAAATAAATATGAATAAAAATAAAAATAAACAAACAGGAACTAATTCAGTTGTTGGAGACAATGTAGAAAACTGACAATGTAACAGTAATGCATTGCTCTAGACATCAAGAAGCAAAAGACAGAATAGCAAAAGATGATGGAAAGGCAGATACAAAAACCAAAAAAGCAACTAAACAGAAACTTTAGATGATTATACCCACCCCTTGTAAACGTTATATATACGTGTTGGTATGTGTTTGTACTTACTCTGGATGGCCTGAGGCCTTCCCTATGACAACAGAGAAGGCTTCAGAAGAATGCAATATTTTATTAAAGGGGATCATTTCAAGGTTTGGCCTGCTTGTCTCCATAGGCAATGACAATGGGCCAGCATTTGTAGCAGAGGTTGTACAAGATCTAGCTAGACTGTTATATGTAAAGTGGTACTTCTATACTGCTTATCAGCCTCAGAGTTCTGGTAAAGTTAAAAAAATAAATCATACCATTAAGGAAATATTAACTAAATATTGTCAGACAATACCAGTGTTATGGGTCGATCTGCTCTCTTTGGCTCTCCTTAAAATAAAAATACCTGAGTCATACTGGCTTCTCCCCATATGAGATCTTGTTTAAAAGGCCACCCTGTAATTTTTGTTTGGCGTCTTACTTCTGAAATGGACTCAATTAAGGAAGACTCTCATGTGTCTTGTGAAAATTGTGGTCTTTCCCTTTCCTTGAATAATCTGATGCTAAAATCATTCAGTAAACATTTATTATTAGCAGTACATTGTCATTTTCAGGACTCTCACGTAGTTTATTTCCATCTTTAGTACATTTTTTATTATAACAGTCATGGTTCTCTTCAATCATTCAGGATATTAAACACATCTGAGAGAGCTGTCTTAAAGCATTTACCCGCTTATTCTATGATCAGTTTCATTCAAAGTGGAATAGATTTCAAACTTTTGCATATATAGAGGTCTGTTATTGTGATCAGATGTGGAATATTATATACATAATATGTATATTATATATAAAATATTATGTATATTATTGTGTACTTTACACTTTTTGATATTTTCCTAAAAATAGTTAAATATAAAATATCACTGCTAGATGCCCTAGATATAGCACAAAATGTTTCGCATACTAGCTTTTAAGAAAAACATTTCACTGAACAAAAAACCACATAGATCCCTATCTATGCTGTATAAATACAAGAGTCTTACTTAGACCTATGGTATAAGATTCAGTACATAAAAATACAAACAAGTTTAAGAGGAAATGTGTCAAAAACCAAACCACAGCATTGAAAGCAAAAGAATAATTTCAACTATTGATGTTGAATGTAATACTCATTTTGATTGAAAGATAAAGTTCCATAAGAAGCAATATTGAGAAAAAAACTGAAAATGTTGGGGGAAAATGATATTTAATTGACTTTTAAGATTTGAGGGTTAATTGGGATAAGTACATAGAGAAAAATATCATTCTTTACACACGGAAGCAGTATATGTATTTTTACCAGAAAGGAATGCTGTCAAGTGAAATACCTTTTCAGCTTTAGTTTGTCAAATTACATTGTCATTTTAGTGACTCCTATGTATTACCCTAGTATTCTATATGAAAACACTAAGTAAAAACTCTAAACATACTCCTGAATACCCTATAGAAGGCATTTTTTACTTCTTTGTTCCTAAAACTGTAGATCATTGGGTTTAGCATGGGGATCATTAAAGTGTAAAAGACAGAGGACAGTTTATCAATGTCAGAGGACTGAGCAGATTTGGGCTGCACATACATGAAGAAAAGAGTCCCGTAGAAGACCACCACCACGGTCAGGTGAGAAGCACAGGTGGAGAAAGCCTTTTTTCTTCCTTCTGCAGAATGCATTCGACATACAGCTAAGAGAATCATGAGGTAAGATAACAATACTACCAGGAGCGAGGATGACAAATTAAATATCGCAAAACGATTGATCACTGTTGCTATTTCTTGTCCATTTGAGCACAGCATAAGCGACATGGGGATACAGTCACAGTAGAAATGGCTGAGAAGATTGGTACAGAAAGTGGATGTAAAAATCTGACTCGTAAAGAGCAGAGACAGCGTGGTACAGTAGAGGTAGGGAATGCCCACCAGCACATGGCAACGTCTCTGGGACATGATGATGCTGTAGAGCAGAGGGTTGCAGATGGCCACGTAGCGGTCGTATGCCATGGCTGACAAGATGAAAAGTTCACTGACAATGAACACAATGAAGAAGGCCATCTGTAGGGCACAAGCATGATAGGAAATGGTATTTTGACCCATAGCAAAATTCAGCAGCATTTTGGGATAAATGACAGTGATGTCACCCAGATCAATGTAAGCCAGGTGTCTGATAAAAAAATACATTGGTGTGCGTAAGTGGGAATCCAGCTTGGACAGAATGATCATGCCCAGGTTGCCTGTAACTGTAATCATGTAGATGATGAGGAAGATCCAGGCAAGGGGGAGCTGCAGCTCAGGCAGGCTGGATACTGCACTCAGAATGAGGTCAGTGGGCACCGTTAGATTCTGTCTCCCCATGAGGGCCAGATACCTCTTCTGGGGAGAACAAGAGAGATGCTATGTTTTTTATTTAGAACTATCAAATTGTAATGAGAAGGCACAGAATGGAAATGTATATTGTAACAGTCTATATTAATACTAATTTTTTCTTCTCATTCTAATAGTTTAAAAACTTTAATTTTCTCGAAGTGAAGTATCCATTTGAAATATATGAATATTTTCAATTGACGAGACAGTAAAATTTGGAACAGATCTTTTATTAACAAAACCATATTCATGTAAATATATAAGCATGAGGCTTTATTTCATCTATAGGATAGAATCATTTTAAAATTTTTTCTGAATATACAGGAAGGATTAGAGAAATAGAGTAAAAGTTGAAATAAAACATCTATTACAGTAAGAGACATTGGCATTAATCAGCCTCAACACGTTCCCTTTTTGCTCAAACACATAGATGCATTGTTCCTAATCCTCTGACACTCCTTTGTGACAGCCTCCCTCACGAGCGAGTTAAGGGGATGGGATCCAAAAGTGATGAATGCTGCTGCCAACTTCCATGCAATCAAAGATAGTCATAAAATCAATATGACAGGCGTCATCCAACTTAGTCCCCAAATCTGTAACTGTGTGACTTCCAGCTCTTCTTCCAGGTCTGACCTTGGAAGTATGACCTTCAAAGGAAAATCCTCTGAATTGATTCAGGACATGAATTTATTCCCAAGAGTGCAACTGAAGATATTCTTGAAATACGACTTATGAAATCTTTGAGCAAGTGGCAAGAACAATGGAGTACCTTCATTCACCATGAAGGGATAGTGTTTTGAAAAATGATTAATGGCACTGTCCTGTGCTTGTGTAAATTTACACTCATTTAAAAGCACTCTTTGTTTCCCAGTCACATCTTCTCCTGTCTGTTTAGTCCATCAATTCTGTGCAGTTTTCATATTTTTGAAAGTCATGTGGAGCTTTGACAATGAGTTCACAAAGCAAGATTGTATTGTCAAACCTTGAAAATATGACATAACCTGCAATCACTTAAGCTCAGTGTTTCTTTGCATTCTGATTTCTACTCCCTCATGCTTCAGTTGAAGTCATGGTGAATTAGCACCTACTGGCACTTGTAGAGTCCAAGTAACAAAACAATAAGGAAGTGACATGTGATTTGTGCACCTATTTATATTGTTCAAAATTAATGGCACATATCATTGAACAATTATGCTTTCTCAGAATAGATACATCTATATGTGGAAATGTTCATTTCATAATAAAATTAATTAATTCATACATTTTATGTTGTTTTGACTACTTATTTATTTGTGATTCTTAACTGGAAGATATTAAATTCTCTTTCATCCACACTAAATTTTGACATATCATTTATCAGGGTGTGGGGATAATTTTGCTTCGTTTTAGTGAATGAGAATCCTCAACTAAATTAGACTTTAAGACATTTATAAGATATAGACCTATTCTTGCTCATATGAATATTTTTGTCACAAAGCATGGATTTGCAAGGATTTAATTTTATATTCTTTACATCATTAACAATAGTAAATTATAGTTTTTAAATACATTGGAAATCATTTGATTATTTTCATAACATGTATTAATAAGGTTCATAATAAAATAATTATTATCTGTCATATCTTTCAAAATCAAAGCAAACTCACTATACTGCATTTTACTTGGACTCCCTAAACGTATTCAGTTGTATTTGATAAGATCAGTGAAGCACTTTACTATCTAAATGCCTCATTAAACTCTCACGAATCTGATTGATCTAGCATATTTGTTCAGTACTTTTATTTTTATACCTATAAGCAAAATAATACTCCAAGAGTTGGCATTTCACACAGAGATGCTGAAGTTTGCAGCACATTTAAATAAATCAGCTGTCATTGACCATGACTGTCTGTAGACAAAATCCAACCGTAATGGAGACTTACTGAATCCAGGTGAAAATCAAAAGTCAGAGCAATTCTTACTCATCTTGAAATGATGATCAGATTTCCTGTTCTGAAATCACTCTGACTTTGTGTTTCTGACTTTCTGTTTGGAGATGAATTTAAGGTCTTCTATTCTTTGTGTGATATTCCCTAAGGAGATAGTATTTAATTTGTTCAGTTCATTCTATATAATTCAT